AGAAGGGAAAGACAAAAGCTGTCTCTTGGAGAGGGAAACTGAAAAGGAAAGGACTCAGGCTGGAAGCTGAAGATCAGCTTGCCTCAGTGGATGGGGGTAAAGGGTGGGCATGGCTTGTCTCTTAAAGGGACAGAGCAGACCATTACACATGTATATGCTCATTTGGGTGTGCAAGTGAGCATGCATGGTGTTCACTGGCATAAGGAAGCCAGAGGTAGATTGTAAAGTCTTCATCAATTATTCTCCATGATATCTTTTGAGACAGTGTTTCCCATTAAATCTGGAGCTCATCAGTTTGTGGCTAGAATGACTAGTCAATGAACTCCAAGGATCTGGTCCATCACTGATGCTACAGACAATTTGCTGACTGCAAAACATGGGTGCTGCAGATCTGAATCAGGCCCTCACGCTTATGTGGCAGACACTTTACCAACTAAGCCATTAACCCAGTTGCACTTCCATTTTAGCTGTGGATTTGTTTTCTCCTCAGACTTATTGCAGGAGGGTCGCCCATTGCCACTGCCCAGTAGATATGACTGTGTGGATCAAGCTAGCCTGTTCTCTTGTTGCGTAGGTTCTTATAAAGCTTTCCAGTCACGCAATACAGACTCTTGCTGACAGATCATTGATCAAAATGAAGTCATAGGACTATATTTTCCTACCCCTAAGGTTGGAAAAGTAACATTGAGCTTTTAGAGCCACAGTAGCAAGAAAGCTGTGAGGAGAGGAGATTGAAACGACTTAATGAGATACGCCGGACACGTGCCACAAGACACACAGCAACTCTTCATGTAGCCCTCTAAGAGAAACCATATGGTAGGTGTCAGTTTCCAAAGGAAACCCAGGGCAAGTCACACTCAGTACCTGGGGCTCCTCCCAGCACCTCTTATCTCACCCCAACCCCAAAGCTCTGCAGCCCTGGGGCTAGGTTTTCCTGCCCACCCTCAGCTTCTCCTTCCTACGTAAATCAGCCATTTGGGCCACTTGCTCTCTTAGTCCTCTTGGTTCTTCTCTCCCTCTTGGTCTTTTGGCTCCTGACTGGCTCACTTTTGACCTTGGGCTCTCTTGGGCTCTTGGTTCGAGGCTCCTTTCTTGGTCTGCTTGTCCTCTCCCCCATCTCTTCTCTTCCTCTCCCCATCTCCCCACTTCTTTCTCCTCTTATGGTCCGTTTCAGCATGGACCCCTACCAGATGCCCCTGGCTGTGTTCTCCCTCATATCTACAATAAACACTTCTCCTCAACCATATCTAGGGATGGTCATGTCCTCATTTTCATTCAGTGGGTGACTTGCCTGTCCCACAAATAACTGACTTTAAGGCAGGGGATCAGATAACAGTGTGAGAAATGAGAGAAGTATGAGTACCAAAAATAAATAATGCTTTTCTTAGCATCAGTATGATATGTAAACACTTGGAACTCCCACCAGTGACCCAGTTATATTATAGCCAACTATAAATTAAATTATATATAATTCCACCCTCTATCTCTTGGGGTTTTTTTCTTCTTTTGTTTATTTGATAAAGATTAATGTGCTGTTAGATACTTGTCCAGGGGTAAGAGAAGCGGCAGTGAGGGAAACAAGGAGTTTGTCTTTCTGGTAAAATTCCTAGTAACTTTCAGTCAAAAGTTTAGCTTTCTAATAAAGAAAGACAAGTTAAAGAAGTGTGTGTGTGTGTGTGTGTGTGTGTGTGTTACACATTTACCCACCTATGCATTTCTTACATTTCATATAAAATCCCTTTTTGTCTTCCTATAATCCTGCTGCATTCTCTGGTAATTATAAACACAATTTCAATAACTATTTGTGGCGACAGTGGTTTATAAAATTTGTAAAAAAAACCATAGGGTATATACAACACATGTACTTTGGGTGTATATAATTTGTAGCAAGCTCTCCAGATGGTGATAAAGTCAACATCAAACAGAAAGTTAGATAAGAAGCAGTGTGCAGAGGCCTGGGGAAGCGTGTGGGGTTAACGGTATTGGCTATAATTTATAGACTGGGGAAGAGAATGTGAAACTCTGTGCTCTAGCTACAGGCTCTCAAGCGCTCTGCTTTAAAGGGAAGCAGGCAAACACGCCTGCCCTGCTAAAGGGGAAGGAAATGCCAGCGCCTAGGCACAGTGTGTATTGCTCATTGTTCTCGCTGGCTCATGCTTTATTTCTAAGCTTTTAGCTTATTTTATTTGGCTTATTGATTTTTTTTTCTAAGCCATGTTAAGTGTGGCCGTCAAACCGTAGCTCCCGTCCTGAGCAGCAGTTCCATGTCCATTTAGCTTTGGATGATCCACCCTCACCTCAAATTTGTTTTCTTAGTTTAAAAATCTACCTGAGGTTACAGAGGGGACATCATATAGTTGGATATTCCCCAATGATTAGGCATTAGAAATTGCCAAAGAAGCCAAAGCACTGATTAGTTATTCCTTTCTGTATTGGCTTCACAAAATTTGTATAATTGGATTTTTAAAGTATAAAGTTTATTTTTCTTCTAATCTTATTAGCTTGTAGAACTTACCCCTTGTCCCACCCCAACCTCCTAATTTAGCAGGCTACAGCATTGTAATGTATTTAAGAAAAGATTTCCTGGACTATAGGTACAGCCCAGTTGGTAGAGTACTTGGGAAGCATGCATGGAACCCTGGGATTGCACCCCAACATTGCAGAAACCTGGTGTGATGATGCATACCTATAATCCCAACACCCAGGAGGTGGGAAGATCAGGAAGACAGGATGATTGGAAGCTTAAGGCTACTAGTGAGTATGTAGCCAGACTGAGATACATGAGGCCCTAACTCAACCAACCAGCCAACCAAACAAACAAATAAACACCCTCTCAAAATTAAAATCTAGACTCAGCCACCCCCAACCCCACCCTCCATCCCCCACCACACATACTTAGGATACTTTAATCTCATTGTTCTCCTTGAGAACTGGCTAGGCTGTGGTACTGCCCTTTCAATGCATGTCCCTGGGTGGACACAAGCTCCATGGGGGTAGGTGCCATGTCTGCTTTGTTCAGGTCTGTATTTAAGCTCATAGCTATCTTGGGTAGTCACAGAAGCACTCAACAACATTCAGTGAATGAATAAGCATCTTCCATTTCTGAGGGACAACAACAGTGTTTCCGAAAGGATGTTCTTCTTTGTGCGTGTGTGGTGTGCTTGTGAACCTTTGTCCAAACCCTTCCTCAGAAATGGAAGACTTCGTCCCATCCCCCACCTGCCACCAGGAGGGCTGCTAGGAATCACCTCAGCTGCAGTCTTTTTTGGGGAGGTGCTTCAGCTAAAGTCGTGGAAAGCCCCAAATCGGGTCCTCTTTTGGCTTGTGTTCAGGACTGGTAAGGCATGGTTTTACTTCTCACACCCATCTAGGACACCCCTACTAGGTCACCCCAACTCCAGGTGCAGCTCGTGAGGTTGGGATGTCCTCACACAGCAGTTCTTGCACTGCTTCTTCCAACCTCCCTTTTACAGGGGTTTATCCCAGCAGCAGCACCTAAGAGATGTTCTGCACCTTGCTTTCCAATTCCTGTATCTACTACAACAAAGTCTGAAAATCACGTAGCATGGTCTAGCCTACTCTACCCTGCTAAACAGCAAAGTGCAGTAATTTCCCCTCCCACCCACGCAATGCCTAGAAATGCAATGTAGATCATAAGCAAACCAAAGGAAATTGGCTTGCAGATGGTATAAAGCCTTCCTATTCCAAGGAGCATGGTATTTGCTGTGTACCTTTTCCAGAAATGCGGAAATATCACTCATATCTATACTGACATTAAAATCTAGGAAACACTAGGCTGTGAGACTAACATATATAGCATGCTTTACTTGGTAATTCCTAGTCTGCAGTTTGCTTAAAGACAGGACTTTCGGTCAGCAAAGACTGACTGAATGTCGTGCAGAGATTTCAGCCTTGTAGAGCTTGCATTCTAAGAAGCAGAGAAAACCAATCAGTGTGTATATTGCAGTGTGTGTGGGAGGGTGGAAAGGTGTCATTGAAAATAGGGTGGGTTAAAGAGAATGGGAGAGTGGGTTGCAGTCTAAAATCTTTGCAAAGACGGTGATAAGCAGAGGACAGAAGCGGGTGAGGCAGCTTGTTTGAGGATAAGTCTTAAGTAGTGTCTATATTAAGGGTAAGGACACTAAGTGGACGTGAGAGATGCAAAGGGGCTGATCTCCTGATAAGAGACTACGTGATGATTTGCCATTTAACAGTTATTTATTAAAATGGACATGCACTTTTTTTGTGTGTGGTAGTTGCTTGCTTTTTCTAAGAACGAAGTGCTTACCCCAAGCACATTGGGTTTGCGTTATTGGGTGTCTGCACAAACAAAAACCAGGGGTTCAAGTTCCACAGACAAAACTGGCAGGAATTGGAGAAGGCTTTTTTTGAATTCTTCTGAAACCTCAGGCTCCAAGACGCCTAGATGGTAGATGGATGGAGATAAACATGGTGTCTGGGTTGTGGACCAAGACAAAGCTCTGCAACAAACACAGAAAGAGGAATTGCAGACGATTGTGTCAAGTTGAAAGAAAATGGTAACTTTTGGAGCAGAGTTCCCCAGGATTCCAGAGGCCAGGTCCTGAATAGAGAGAAGGCACGTAGAGCTTCCAGCCTCGGGCTAGTCCACTCATCCAACTCGCCTAATCTTTCCGTTCACGCCCTGCTCCGCAAAGCCAGACCTCGCCCTTTCCCGGCGTCCCAGTTCACTTTTGACCCATCTAAAACCCGCCTAAGACCCGCCTTCTCGTGGAGACCCCGCCCCCTTCCCCACGCTCCAGTCCACGCTTACAAATTGCACTTTGTTCTCAAACCTCTGCCCAGGCCCCGCCCTGACTCCGCCCCCGATGGGCCGTCTCTACCTTTGCCTCTACTCTTCGTCCTGCCAAGGCTCCGCCTCCCTCTAAAGTCACGCCCCTCAGGGGCTGGAGTCTTCGACTTTGGTCCCGCCCATCCCTCCAGACCCGCCCCCTACGGGTATAAGCGCTACGCTGGGCGGACGTGACGCCAGGCGCGAGCCGTGGGCTGCACGGGGACCTTGTTAGTCCTGTTACTTTCTCAGGAATGGACCCGCTGGTCGCAACCAGCAGCATGATTCTGCTGGTGGTCTTGATGCTGTCTGCGGAGGCCGCGAGCAGAGCCGTGACTAGCACCGAGGATCCAGAGACGCCCTCGGGTAATAACTCCGAGCCTCTGCGGGCAGGGTTGGGGCTGGAGGTCAGGCGGGAGGCCGGGAAGTCCCTTCTAATCGGGCTGTGTCGCTCTGGGCAAGGCAGTCCCGGGTCCGGGGACTGTAGGGGCGCACGGCTTACCGCGGTTTACAGGCCACTCTTGCCTCTTCTTCTTTGCCAACGCAATAACGCAAACCTTTAGTAACTAAAGTTTAAGCTGTTACAGTTAGTTTCCAGGGCAGCGTTTGGCATTGTAAATACAACTCACTGTTTACAGACTTATTTTCCGGGTGTTGTCCAAATTCTTTGTGTAGGAGAGAAGAAAGATGTGCCAATTGATAGTGATTCTGGTTTGCTAGTCTGGTTTTTAAGTATGAAACTGTAGGGATTTAGGGGTTCTTCCTATAGAGCAATTAATTCCTCAGAACCTTTGATTTCACCCGCTAATCACATTAAACACCAGGGAATACATGCAGGGGATAGTTTTCCATGAATAGAGCTCTAGAGAGAGCGATGAAACTTGGCATCCGCTCCCTCCCAGTCGCTAGTCTTTAGTGCCCCAGATGTTTCCAGCTAGCAGCTGCTGGAAGGTTTGGAGATACCCAACCCCCTTTAACTCCCAGGCGCTCCAGTTAGGTGTGCAACATTCCCGTTCAGCCCTGCCTTGACTTCATCTTCAAAGGCTAAGCAAAGCTAAACACAATAGATAGGAAATAGCCACCTAGATGTCAGTCAGCAGAAGAACAGATAAAGAAAATGAGGTGCATATACAAAAATGAAATTCCATTCAGGTATAAGGAAACAGGAAATAATAATTGCAGAAAAATAGAATCAGAAATAATGTTAGTTGTGTTAAGTGAAATAAGCCAGATTGAGACAATTCAGAAAAAAATACTATGTTTTCGTACCATGTGTAGACCTAGATTTTAAGTGTGTGGTGTCTGCGTGTTCGTGTGTGTGTGTGTGTGTGTGTGTGTGCAGGAGTGCGTGCGTACGTGTGTGTGTGTGTGTTGTGTGCGTGCGTGCGTGCGTGCATGCGCCAAGGAGACCATGAGAGAGAGGAGAAATAAAACAATAAAAACAGGGTAATAAAACACATGGATGGGACATGAATGCAAAAGGGAGGGTTCTTGGGGGAGGGAGGCGACCAGAAACAGAGGCAGGAGCAACTGGGGGACAAATTAGAAAGCGTGATGGCATGTATGTAGTCTGTATGAAAATGCTGTGTGAAAATCTATTACTTTGGTACTTTAACATTTTTAATTAAACAGAGAATACAGTCAGTCATTCAAGAAAATGTCAAGCAAACAAATCGTTAGTCATCCCTTAGGATAGGCATGGTGCCAAGGGCTAGGAAGACAAGTTTGGTTAGGACTTACTGGGTGCTGGCAACTGTCTTAGCAGAAGGCATAACAGGTCTGTTTTCCCAGTCACCTCTAATGTAGTGGCGGTGGTAGCTCCATCTACAGTGAGGCACACAGGGCTGCCCAAGTGGTAGAGATCACGTTCTTAACCACCCTGCCAACAGCCATTACCCAGGGCAAGCTGCCTGTCCCCGTGGACGATAGCAACACACCGCGATAAGAACTTGAACTTACTTAAAGGCTGCTGGGAACTAAGATAAGAGTCCTAAACCCCACCTAGGGGACTCTGGGAAGATTTCACAGAGAAAGTTAGCCCAAGCTTAGCCCCAGAGGTCTAGAGAGAATTGCATTTACAGAGATGGGAAGTGCCATGTTAAGCTAGAGGGATAGTAAGTGTCTTATCATAGACTGTGTGTCAGGACCGCAGGACGAAGCAATTGAAAGTCTTGTGTGTAACAGAAAGGGATGGAAATGTGACTTTAGCTGAGAAGTTTATTGGCTCAGAGAATCCAAGTTAAGCAGAAAATGAGAGCGATCACCTTGGTTTTAGGAAGCTAGCACTTGGAACACAGGAAGGCTGCAGCTTACCGTTTCTTATTTCTAGAGGCCTGGCTATGGACAGATTACCTATTTGGCAATAGTAGTAAGTGCTGGTAGCCTTTGGGTTTTAAAATATTGCAACTTCTATCCAAGCAACATCCCACAAGGAAGGCTCTGATTTCCCTAGCTTGACTGGAGGCCAACTGGTGTAGGAAGGACATTGTTGGAAGGTGTGGTATGGGATTTTCAAAAATAGAAGCATAATGTTCCCGACAGAAGTGAAGGGCCTGCACCAAGAAAATAATGCGCCCCCTATTCCTGGTGTGATGGGTGACCTCGTGCAGGTTTAGATAATGCTAGTTAAGAAAAGCCAGGCATCATATAAAGTAGAATGAGGAAGAAAACCCATTAGGAGGCCAGAGCTCAAGGCGGCAGAGGGATTCCTTGAGGAGTGTCTGTGCAATGGAGGGGAGGCGACCTTTGAAGGAATACTGAGAAGGCAGAGTCCGTTGGACTCTGGCTGTGGGCAGAGAGAATGATCCAGCTGCCCGCTGGGGCAGCGCCTTAAATGGAGTGCCAGGCACTTCCTTCTGCTGAGGTTCCTCTCTGTGACTTCATGGTTTCCAAGTCTTCAAATCCTGCCCTCTGTGATAAGTTCTGCTCCCTTCTGCTCTGGACCCTAGCATTTTATACTAATTTTTAATATGTTATTTTATATTATATATTATTTATATATTAATTTTATAATATAACTTTAAAAGTTAACATGCAAAATTTAGCAACACGCAGAAATAGTGTAGATGGTTTTGTTTTAATTGTGCAGGTAATCAGAACGAGATTTTGGTTAGTATGAAGTGACTTCAAGAGAGAAAGGAATTGGCTCATTTGTAATTTTCTTATTCAAGTGACATCTTTATTCTAGATACCCTGGGGATTCATAATCAAAATACAAAATACCCATTTTAGTCCTGTCTGAGTTATGGAAGGGACTTGCCGTAATGCGTTATTCAGGTTTCGCGGTGAGCCATAAAACAGCACGATTGCGTGAGGCAGATTCTTGTGAAGTTATCAGAAAGCAATCATCTCCGCTCCGCCTTTACATGTGGAGACAATAGCCCTTGCTTTAGCAAGCAGTCACAAGGACGTTTAGTGAAAATGAACAAGGCACTGTGCGCTGTTATCTTTACTTACTTTCCCCAAAGTTTTGTTTTCTCCTTCATAAAGTCTGTCCCATAATCCTGCCATTCATGGGATGGCTTGGAGAATACCTGAGCTGTGCCCTGTAGAGTCTGGTATACAGGAATCACTATCACTTAGAGTGTGTAACATTACTTCAACAGATAATAGTTAATGTTAAATTATTTTAGTTATGTATGAAGATCTGTATTGGCCTTTTTTTAAACAAAAATCATCAAGATCAATATAAGAAATTTAAAATTTGCTCAGGAGTGAAACTCATTTTTCTAGCATTCACTTGTTTTTTATTTTGTTTTTAGCAGAAAAGGCCAGTTTGCTTTTTTTTTTTTTTTCCAGTTCCCATTTTTTCTATTTTTCACTTTAAGAATAAATTAGCCCAGGGACTTCAACTATAGTTCAGTGACAGAACACAAGACCCTGGGGTCAGTGACTGAAATAAAGAAAGTGGTAAGGGAGTCTGAAGATACCCTATTCAGCTTAACCCACGACCTGCTGCCGCCTCCCCAAACAGAAGCTAAAGTGCATGAAGGAGAACAGCTCTTCCCACAGATTGGGAATGGCCCATTCCGGTGGGAGAAGGTAGTCATAAATTTATTTTGACAGAAATAACAAAACCTTGGTATTTTCTACTTATGTAGATTCCTCATTCCAGTTCTCAGTTTGCAATAAGGCATCACCCTTGTGAAGACAGAGGTGTCTCCGTGCAGCTCTTCCTATCTGCAGGCCTGTAGACCTTTGCTCTGGAGGTCAGCTGTTTGGAAAAGGGTCCGGATGTTTGATTTCATTATGACCTTTGGTTTTGAGTTGAAGGAGTCTGGGAATTAAATAATTCAGAGCCCCTTTTCTGAAAACAAGTTCCAGAAAACGTCTGTTTTCAAGAGACCACAAAATCTGTAAGGTTGTTTTAGTCTGTGAAACTATTCTAGTGTCATCTTAAACTCCAGAGATAATATTGCCTCTTTGCTTCCTCCGTGCGTATTTTTACTTAGTGTAAATATATCCCGAATAGAAGCTTGCTATGAACCTTGGTAACTTCCGCCACTCCGCACTGTAATGTAGAGGTCAGGTGATAAAATCTGAAACTTACTGACGAGTGTGACAGTTGTCGTGTAAGTTTGGCAAAGACAAAAGTGGTGTCTAGTAGCCTAACCACATGGTTTCTCTTCTGGTTGTATTAAACCACAGGTGATGTCATTTGGTATAATAACCAAAAGTGTCTCTTTAGTAGTAAGTCATGCTATAATCCGTTGACACTTCTTCCCACCGCCTGTTTGCTTGATGTGGGATAGATATATAGTGATTTGGAGGCCAGCCTGGGCTACTGTCTCAAACAAGAAGGTCGACACGCATAGATAGTATTTTATTATGATGAGGGTCATCACACACGATTCACACTCTAAATTCTTCACTATGGTTGTAAGCCTATCTCCCCAAGGCTGCTCTCCTGGGCGACATATCTTAGCTGAAGGTCAAGTCCAGTCTCTTAGCAGTCTCTGATTCAAGGGTCAGATTCTGGGAGAGTCTCTCCCTCCTGCACAGTGTAGATCAAGCTGGCATCTCTTCCAATGTGCAGAGCAGGGCATTCCTCTTGGTCTCTGCTTATATGCTCCCCAGTATGAGTTTTGGAGTACTAGTCATGTGTCTGTTTTCTTGAGTGAGTGATGTCCCTGGATTCTGGCTGTCAGGTGCAGCCTTGGGTATAGTGGTGATCCTGACTAAGCTGTTTTTATATGACTAAAAGACTTTTTTTTTTTTTACTATGCTCATTACATCTACAGTGTGATCCTGTCTCAAAAAACCCAACCAATCAATCAATCAACAACAAAGAACCCGATGCTGTACAAGAGTGTTATTGCTTGCGGTTTTAGGTTGCATAACTCAGTGGCTTCTTCCTAAATATAAATGAACTTTGATAATATTGAAAGTATTCAGAGTGGCTTCTATGTGCCTTTTCCTCAAGGCAGGGATTTCATATTGTATATGTACAGTTAGAAACCTACTTCTATTGGGAATAGTTAAAAAGAGGATCTTAAGTAGTAGAGAGATGGCTCAGGGGTTAAAGATGCTTGCTGCTCTTGCAGAAGACTCAAGTTTTGTTCCCAGCACCCATGTGTAACCATGTGTAACTCCACCTCCCATGGATCAGGCCTCCACGGGCACCAGGCACTCTTGGGATGCACACCTACACATGCAGGCAAACACTCATGCACATAAAAATAAATCTTAAAAAACTTAAACGGTTTTAAAAGGAAGAGCTCGCTGTTAGAAGTTGGAGGAAGGGGCATCCTTGTGCCGTGGAGGAGGAGGCTTAGCAGCTTTCATGATGTGCAAGTAGAAAGTGTGCTCCTGGTCCTGTGATCAGCCCAGGAGGCTCCCAAGCAAGGCGTGGAAGGCACCACCTGGTCTTTGCTCATTTCTTGTCAAAATGTGAACGCTGGCAGGTTAACTATGGAAAAGTGGTTTAAAGGAAATCAGGATAGCAGATCTTTTGCTGAGGTTCCTGATCCATTTGCAGTTTTGTGCAGGGTGAGGGATGAGGGTCCAGCTTCATTCTTCTGCATGCAGCTGTCCGCTTGGTCCAGCACTGTTTGCTGAAAACGCTGTCTCTTCCTCAATGTGTTTTTTTGGCCTCTTTGTCAAAACTCAGGTGACTATAGAAGCATGGGCTTACATTTGGATCCTCAGTGCTACTCAGTTGATTAATGTCTCTGTTTTTATGCAGGAAGCATGCTATTTTTATTGCAATAGTTTTATAGTATAGCCAGAACTCAGGGAATGAGATCCCTCTAGCAGTGTTTCTATTGCTTAGGATTCTTTGGGCTTTCCTGTGTCTTTTGTGCTTCCATATGAATTTTAAGATCATTTTCAGTTTCTGTGAAGAATTGCTTTGGAATTTTGATGAGGATTACAATGAAGCTGTGCATTGCTTTTGGTAGGATGGCCATTTTCAGAATATTAACCCTACAAATCTATGTGCACAGAAGGTCTTTCGTCTTCTGACATCTGATTTATTTCTTCATTGTTTTAAAGTTTTCATTGTACAGGTCTTTTACTTCCTTGGTTAGGTTTATTCCAAGATAAATTGTTTTGTTTGTTTTTTAGGATAAATGTCAAACCATTCAAAATCCCATCCTGGTTGGGAGAAGGGATCATGAAGACCTCCTCTCACTAAGGAGCAGTTGACAGCTACTTGGGGAAGGAGAGCGCCAGTTAAATTCAGAGATCTCACCCAGCCCCCTCAGGCTGTACACGTTCCCAGCATAAGTCCCTACAGCCAGGCACAGCCAGGCAGCCTTAAGGGACTAGAGCTCTTAAAAAACAAACAAACAACAAAACAAAAAAACAGCTCCAGAAGTTTAGCAGGACACAGGGTGATAAGGGATATGGATGGAGGGAGTGGGGGATAAATTTGATCAAATCATCATGTGCATGTATGCAATTCTCACAGAAAGAGCACGGAGAGCGAGAGAGAACTGATGCTTTGCTGTTTTCCAGCTCTGTAGAGGCTGCCGGTGTCAAAACCGAGAAATGACTTCTGAAAGTAGTTCAGATTCATCATGAACACCCACCTCCACCTGACCTGTTTTTTTTTTGTGTTTTTTTTTTTTTGTAATCTTTTTTTATCTCACAGGCTGATCTTGGAATTCTAAACACTCCCAGTCAAATGCCACTTAAATGCTGGCATTATAGGTGTGCCCCACCACACCTGGTTCACTTAGTGTGTTGGTTTCGTTTGAGATGTGTGTGTGTGTGTGTGTGTGTGTGTGTGTGTGCGCACACACACACACGCAAGCTGTAGTCATTGTGGGCTGGTTATTTGGTATTAATGTTGAATTGTTCTTAAGAGGGGGAGCAGAAGCTTTTATTTATTCTTAAACCATGGTTTATTAACTGGAACCTAGGCTGTTTGGGAAGGCAGAAGTCCAGACACACTCTCTGAAAGAACACCCTCCTAAGGAAGCCCCAGGTTTCCATATTGTGAGTGGCTGTGGCAGTCTTCAAGAAATCAGGAAAGGAAGGAGCCAGGCAAGAGCAGTGTGTTTAGGCTTGCCCTCAAGGAAGCTGCTTAGAAAACCAAAGCTTATAGGTACTGATGTCTCAGCATGCATCTGTGGTGTTTCTGGAAGCATAGTAGAAAGTTTGCAGTTGTCTGGCTAATGGCCACAGAAAGACCAAGCAAGTCCTGCTGAGTGCCACCCCACTCCCCTTCTTCATAATCTGTCTTTCTTTGTCATAAGCTTTACCTTATGTTGATAAATAATATAGAAACTAGATATATTTTCAAAACAAATGTACTGGGAGAGAATGAAATACAGTAATCATAAAGCATTTTAGAATAAAAGCATTTCCCCCTCCAAACAGTAAAGAGCTACTTAAAATTATAGACATACATAGCGCGTTTCTCCAACTGTTATGCTCTTGACCTTTGGAGCTGGATATTCGTTGCCATGGTGCTCCTCTGTCCATAGCATTGTTGGATCCTCAGCAACCTCTCTGACCTTTGCCCTTCAGATGCCTGTGGTGGACCCCTTCCCAACTTAAGAGTCCAAGTTATCAGGACCAAAAATGTCTACAGACATTGCATACTGTCCCCTTGGGAACAAAAATCATGTGTTTTCGTAAGTCACAACTTAAGGAAGAAGTACTAGGGGGGAAATGGCAGTAGGATTTGTGACCTTTAATGATGTGGCATGGGGTGCGGGCATTGGAATATTAGCCTGCAGCCTTCCTCATGGCAGGCAGCCACTCTTTCATTGACCTACAGTCCCCTAGATAGAAAGATAATGCATGTGTTAAACAATTATGAATTAAAACAGCGGAGCAGTCTGGTCTTAAATATTAAAAATGTTTATTATAGGTGAAAACATCTGGTAGGTGTTTCCAAGCAGGTATTTTACATATGTAAACTAATAGGTGTCCTAGTTTCATTTGCCTTGCTGTGATGAAAACTCCCTGGCAAAAACAGCTGAAAGGAAGAGGGTTTATTTGGGCTCACAATTCCAGATTACTGTCTGTCATCGAGGGGAAGTCCAGGCACAGGGAACATGAAGCAGCTAGCCACATCATATCCACTCTCAAAGCACAGAGAAGGGAATTAATGTGTGCATACTAATTGCTCAGCTTCCAAATCCAGGAATTGTACAACCCACTTTTAGGTTTCTTCACGTCCACACAGCAACCTGATCTATGCAATCCTTTACTGAGACTCTCTGCCCAGATAATGTCTAGGCTGTGTCAAGTGGGATAATTAAAATTATCACAATGTCTCATTCAACAGAAGACAAAGTCCAAAAGAGCGATCTAACAGATAACTGGGAAAGGACCTGGGTTTCTTAATGATTTGGCCTGGGGTGTAATTCTTGATTAGAACAATCTAAGTAAGCATAATTCATATCATTATATTGAAAAATTATATAAGCATGGGTTTGGGTGCTCTTAGAGCACTCGCGGAAGATGGCCAGGTGTGCAAGGGAGCCACCTTACCTGCGCACATCCTCATGCATTGATGTGCTTTAGCTTTTTAAGTCAGTCATGCTTAATGTCCAGGTAAGATGGAATGATCTTAAATTTGGGGTCACATCACCATCTTTACATTTGTGATCATCCATCAGCCCTCTCCCTGTGACTCTTGGGAGTCTTCCCCACAAATCTTGCAGGAGTGGTTTAAAGGGAGAAAAGGCACAGCCCAGGAAGCAGTGTTGATGACACTGGATGACCAGTGTCTGCTTCCGTGTTGCTAGGCAGATTTCCGTGTGCTGTTTAGAAAAGAACAGCACACCTTCCCCCCAGGAGGCAGTGTTGAGAGCCTGGTGGCATTTTCGAGTAAGAGTGTGGCCAGGTCTTCTGTAGACACTGAGAGCAGTCTGCGCTGGCAAACACTGAGAACTCTGTGATCACAGTGAAGCGAATAAATGATTGTTATTATGGTAGGCAGTGTGTTTGTTTATGGGAGCTGTTCAAATGTTGTGGGAGTTGTCTTAGGCTGTGTTTGTGTTCCCCATATATACTAGTTCATGTTCCCACTGCTGTTTCAAAATACCCAACAGAAGCAACTGTTTTGACTCACAGTCTGAGGGCTGCAGTTTGTCCTCGGGAGGAGGGGTGGCAGCAGAGGGCAGGAGTCAACTCAGTCACACTGAACCCAGTCAGGAAGAGAGATGATGACAATCCCTACTTCTTCCCTCACCTTTCTCTTTTTGTTCAGTCTGGGACCCCTTAGAACAGTGGTCTCAACCTTCCTAATGCTATGACCCTTTAATACAGTTCCACATGTTGTGGTGACCCCACCAACCATAGAATTATTTTCATTGCTACTTCATAACTATAATTTTGCTACTGTTATGAATCACAGTGTATTTTTTTTTTTTTTAGATAGAAAGTTGCCATAGGGGAATCAATCCAGGGGTTGAGGACCACTGTCTTAGAATGATGCCTCCCACATCCAGGGTGGGTCTTCTCTCCTCAGCTAACTTCTCCAGAAACTGCTGTCACAGAGACCTGCCGAGGTTTCTCTAGTGGGTGACTAAATATATTCAAGGGCACATCGAGAATTAACCATCACGCCTTACGTCGTGGTGATGTTTGCATAGCCTAAAGTGAATCAGAAGTCGCCTGCGCATTTTCAATAGAACATGTCCTGTGAGTTCGCTCTGATTGAAATGGCTTCAGTAGCTGCTGCACTGCCTCCACTTCTGTGTGCTTGCTGGACTAACGTGCCGTTGCATAAGGCTTTCTGTTGCCGATGTTAGTTTCTTACTGTGACCCCTTTTGGTTTTGAATCTCTTACAGTGCCTGCACCAATGAATGTTCTGATTACGTCTTATAACTTGAACCCTGTCCTGTGCTGGAAATACCAGGGTATGCCACAGACTCCCACTTTTACTGCGCAGATAAAAAACTATGGGTGAGTATTGCTCAGTTATTATTTCTGTTCGGTTTTAAGCCGAATCCTTTCATAGTCCAGGCAACTCTGTGGTCCTCCAAAATCCCTCACCAGACTTTTATCGGCTGTCTGCAGATGTCACAAAATGCTAAGGATCCAGATTAGCCCTACTCGATGGTGAAGCAGAGAAGCACTAGGGCCGTCCAGGATTTCTCTCTAGTCTCTGAGTAAACTAAGGTTTGTTAGCTGTTAGCAAGGACTAGCCACATGCAGTGCAGTTAAGGTCAGGGAGGGCCAACACCACCTGGACAGCGCCTTACCAGTCTTTCGGAATAAATACTCACAAGTCAAGTCTTGGAAAACAAGACTTCAGTGTGGATCTGTCGCCTCATGATTTAATAAGGAATGGAGGTTAACCACTTGATAGGCATGCTACAAAGGCAACCTTTGTATCTGCCCTTCAGATCACAGTGAATCCTTCTCCCAGGCTTGGTATCATGCAAACTGGTAATTTGATAAAGGTGTTAGCACTAGCACAAAGGTCTATCCTGAGTGTGTTCTTTTAAGTAACCTGTGGAGCAAAACCGCATGAAGGCGTGAGTATCCTGCTCAGCACAAGGCCACAGATATTTCAGGAGCTGTTCGTTACTATAACTCGGTCTAGTTAGGGTTTCTGTTACTGCGGTGAAGCACCGTGACGGAAGCAACTTGGGAGGAAAGGGTTTATTTGGCTTACACCTCCATATCACTGTTCGTCACTGAAGGGAGGTCAGGACAGGAACTCAAACAGGGAAGGATCCTGGAGGCAGGAGCTGATACAGAGGCCATGGAGGGGTGCTGCTTACTGGCTTGCTCCCCATGGCTTGCTCAGTCCAGTACCACCAGCCCAGGAGTGTTCCCACCCACAGTAGACCGGGCCTCCCCCATCAATCACTAAGAAAATACCCCACAGGCTGTGTCCAGGCTCCTTTTATGGAGGCATTTTCTTAGTCAAGGTTCCCTCTCTCAAATGATTTTTAGCTTGTGTCAAATTGACATAAAACTCTCCAACACGGTCGCTTAGTAAATTGACAGAAACATTAAACTCTGAAAACATTCTGTTTGAAAACTCGGGGAGACAGAAACCCTAATAATAATATGAATGTAAATAGATCCGGCTCTGGGGAAAGAACTTTTATCTAACAAACTTTACTATGTGTACCTTGGCACTTTTTTGTGGTGCTGGAGATCAAACCCAAGGCTCTACACATGCTAGGTAAGCTGTCTACCACTGCACTGCACCGCCATCTCCCATGCTGCATTTGTGTTTGTTGGATGCATGAGTGCAGGTTTGTGTGTGTGTGTGTGTGTGTGTGTGTGTGTGTGTGTGTGTATGCAAGAGTGTGTGCATGTACGCACACATACGTGTGGAGGGTGGGGACAACTTCAAATGTCATTCCTTATTTATTTTTTGTTTTGTTTAATGTAGGTTATGAGGCTTGAACTCAGGTCCTGATACTTTGCATAGCAAGGACTTGATTGACTGAGCTGTCTCTCCTGTCAGCATTTGCTTTTAGGTCTGTTGATTCCACGTTAGGGTTAGGAACTTACCCGAAAGACACACTGTTCTAAAAATACAACTTGAGATTCAATAGGAGATTGAACACATGACTGCTATAAAAATGGGTTACTGTATTAGCTTTGTAAAATATGAAGAAAATTTCATATTTTATGAACCTAAATGTAGTGATTTCCGGACTATATTGTTCAATGAAAGAAAAGTTAAGTTCTATAAGGTCTATGTACTGTGCCTCGTTGGGGAAGATGAAAGAGATGGACTGTTTGTGTGGGTGCTGTCTTACTCTGGGAAAAGAAGGGCAGGGAGTGAGAACCCAGAAGCCAGAGAGATCGGCTTTCTGCAGGAATGGGTAACAAGCAATGTGTGGAAACCAACTGGAAGAACTTCATGTTTCTTAGAGAAATGCTGATTCCAGTGTTAAGCCAAAAAAACAAAATAAAGGTTTTTATAGGGATTTGAGGGAGTTTGATTTGTTAGACTGGTTTATCAGGTTTTTGTCTTTGTGGGGCTAAGGTCCAACTTGTTCACATAAACAACAAACACTGTACCTCCAAGAAACAGCCTCAGCCTGGGAAGACAGGAAAGTAATTAGAAAGTCTCCTTGTGGCAGACACAGATGATGGGGACATGTCCAAAGGATCTTGAAGCCATCTTGAAGTAGGTTCTTACTAACCAAAGGATGGGACAGCTTAAGCAGCAATATCAATAAGAACATGATAAATTAAAAATTAAGAAAGAAAACCTGTATCTATAATGTCATTGACTAGTAATGAACTTGGGAGAATGAAAGGTTCTTGTGTGGACAAGGAACTTCTAAAGTGTTATGTTTTGGCAAGTAAAGCTGATACCTTAGGTGCTGTCTTTCTACGATACCTGTAAATTTTACTAGAAAGATAAATCTAAAAGAAAAACCTGACCACAATGAAGAGCTTTTGCAATATGTCTGATTTTGTAATTGACTCACATTTGTGATTCATAAGGGTTTAAAAGTGGAGTCTGAAACTTAAATATGAAATGTATTATGTGAGTTCTATCTCCTACAAAAGAATTCACAGCGAAGGTTATATATGCCTTATCTCAAATGCTTGGGGCCAGGAGTATTTCATATTCTGACTTTTTAGATCCTGAAAGGTTTATATATACCTAAGTAGATACCTAAGGGGGGCCCTAAGTCTAAACATGAGACTTAGGTCATATATACCTTATCCACATATAACCTAAAAGTATAGCAATTGTAGTTTTTATGGTGTTTTGTTCATTTTATTAAAATATAAATTTTTGTATTTGAAAATTTGGATTGAAGACAGAGCTTAATGCATGTCCCACAAACTTTCTGTCACTCAGCTGCTCCCCTAGTCTATACGATATTTTGAATAACGAATTTCATGCGGGAAACAAACAGCTTTGAATGGTGTAGCATCTTTTCTCTGTGACCTTAGATGGCTGCCCAAAAGGCTTGGACATGCCGGGCGATGGTGGCGCACGCCTTTAATCCCAGCACTCGGGAGGCAGAGGCAGGCGGATCTCTGTGAGTTCAAGACCAGCCTGGTCTACAAGAGCTAGTTCCAGGAGAGGCTCCAAAACCACAGAGAAACCCTGTCTCGAAAAAAACCAAAAAAAAAAAAAAAAAAAAACCAAAAGGCTTGGACTTTAGAGTCATTTGGATTTCCAGAGTTTTTTTGGATTAAGGGTGCTGGGATTGCACATCCAATTCAAGAGTAAGGGTTTCTTTCATTTGGCTTCTCTATCTTGTCCTATTTCAGCTCTTCCAAGCACATGCCAGGAATCAAAGCAGAATACAGAAGGATAACTGAAGTTTGTGTGGTGATAAGATTCATCGTGTGTCTCTCTTCATTTTAGGGAAGGATGGATTGACTCCTGCACCAACGTTTCGGGTCATTGTTGTAATATCTACGAACAAATTAAAGACCCAGAAGCATCTGTTTGGGCCAGAGTTAAAGCCAATCTTGGGCAGAAAGAATCTGCCTATGCAGAGTCAGAAGAGTTTGTTTTGTGCCGACATGGTAAGTAGTTTGTGTACACAGATAACTCCTTAAGATACCTATCTATCTATCTATCTATCTATCTGTCTGTCTGTCTGTCTGTCTGTCTGTCTGTATGTCTATCTGTATGTCTGTCTATCTATCTACACGGTAAGTAGATTGTGTGCATGGATAACTCCTTAAGATTTCTGTCTATCTGTCTGCATGTATGTCTGTGCACCACATTTATGCAGTACCCTCAGAAGCCTGAAGAGGGCGTTGGATCCCCCTGGTACTGCCATTATAGGTGTTTGCTAACTACCATCTAGGTACTGGAAACCAAACCTGGGTCCTCTGGGAAAGTAGCCAGTGCTCTTAACCACTGAACCATATCGCTAGCCCTACATGGATACATTTTAATTGGGAAGTTCTTACACTTCTATGTGTGTTTGCTTTATTGACAGTTGCCACAAGTATCTAGTAAACATATGACAGAATTTAAGGAGCCAATGTCTTTGCCTTCCAGGCCCCACAAAACAGCACTCAACTGGCCTTTCCTTTGCCATTTTTAAAACCATTTAGCATCCAGTCCTTTCAAATCCTGATCAATGCAGTTCAGCATAGTTAGCCATCAGCCTTTCCCTCCCTGACTAATGTAGAATTTATTTCAAAGTTAGATCACAGAGGACTTGGCCACTGGGTTCATTCCTGCTACCTCCCTTAAGTCCTTGAAGCATAAATACCAACATAATAATACATTGACATAATACGTTAGTACATTAGAGTTTCAAGCTGGCTATGGTGGCCCATACCTGTCATCCAGCAGGCAGGAGACTCAGGCAGGAAGATCAAGGGTTAGTGAAGAATTTGAAGCCTTCCCGTCCCAAAGAAACAGAAGTTCAGAGTTCTTTCATGTGTCTGAGCCTACGGTTTTCAGTTTTTTGCCATGCCAGCATCTTACCCTATGGTTCACTGGTCTCGGCTCTCACTGCAATTCCAGAATGTTTGGAGTCAGGTCTCATCTCTGGGGCATCCCACCTTAGCCTGTGCCCTAGTCCACTCACCCCCATGACATCCTTTCCAACTTCCCTTCCTTCCTAGCTCACCCCCTGTGCCTGGTTATGTCCATGCCATCATGCCTGTGGCGCCCACTTGCCTTGATTCTGCTCCAGCTTTCTGGGTATACCCAAGGCTTTCCTAGCAGCCCCCCGCTTTGCTTACTTTAGGTATTTCTATTCTCTGAGTTCATCTAGTACACACCATCTTTAGGTCAGATTTGTCTGCCACAGATTTATCAAGGACCTACCATGTCCCTGAAAGTATGCCTGAGATACACTGGAAAGTCCACACTAGACCTGGGTGGAAGACAGTATGTGTGCGGTACGTGTGGAAAGCACAGGTACATGTTCACCACACAAGCCCCATACACCAGAAACACAGAGGTTGTGCAAAGACTACTTGAGTCCCTGGTTCTGATTTTCATGGTAAAAACTGAACCATTAGCAAGCTTTTTAAGAACCATCTTTCAGACCCCCACGAATGTTTAAGACGCTGGGTTCAGTTAGGAAGATAGCTAAAGAACTTTCCGGGAGGTGGACATGTGGCCCCATGGTTAAGAACACTGGCTGTTCTTCCAGAGGACCTGGCTCAAATTCCAGCACCTACCTGGCAGCTCACACCTACCTGTAACTTCAGTTCCAGGGGACCCTGGGACTCTTCTAAGCTCCACAGACACCAGGCATGTATGTGACGTGTAGACTCATATGCGGGCAAAATACTCACATACATTAAATAAACAAACAAACAAATAAGGGCCTTTTCAGAATCAATTTTTAGAAAACAGGGTCCTTAAGCTACAAAATAAATATAAAAGAGAAGGTATTTGCTTGAGTTTCTATTTTGTGTGTTTATGTGGGGGCGGCGTGCTGGGGAATGAACTCTGGGCCTTACGTTGCTAGGCAAGTGCTCTACCTTCAAGCCACATCTCCAGCCTGCTGTTTCTGCTTTTTATTTTGACACTCATAGCTGTTGAGTTTAATGGTCTTCCTGCTCTACCCTGCTAAACGGTAGGCAGTACAGGCGAGTACCACCAGCCCAGCCTTTTCATCTTCTGAAAACCCACGTTTATGACAAAGTGTACCTTCCTAAAGACAAAGTCAGAGGTGAAATGAAATCGGCAAAGCAGGCTTTAGACAAGAGCTTCCTGTCTGAGATTTATTAAACACTGTATTCTTAGACTTTCTTCTAGATCTTGGCAGAGTTGTTCCCATGTGTCCTTTGATTTAGGTAAACGTAGTAGCTATGCTGGGAGGAATGACACTTTCTCTTTCTTCCCAGGAAAAGTTGGAGCACCGGCCCTGGACATCAGCGTGAAGGGAGACCAGCTCATGGTCAATGTGCTCCACCCTGCGGTGGTTATAAATGGAGAGAAGTATGGGGTCATGTATGGGGATGAAAGCGCCTGCCATACGTTCTCCTACACCCTATATGTGCGAAAATTTATAAATGGGGAGGTGTGTGTTTCTCTTTTATCTTTTGTAAAGATAGGAATCATTCTCTTGCTTGTGTGAGTTGTTGACATAAACTGTAATGCAGGTGCACTGCTCACGTGTGTGTGATACGATGTGTGGGGCATAGATTGCTGGTAAGAAAAGAAAACCTACATGTATGGAGTTAGTCGCCAGCGCTGGCCGGACGGTGCAGTCTTCTCCTCGCCTCTCTAGGATGGCCTCTTCTCTATGTATCTGTTTCTCCACTCGTAAGACGGAGACCATCCAAGGATTTTTTCTTTCTTTCTTCCTTACTGATAATATGCAGTGTATAAAATAGTATATAGCTATGATTTATTTCTGAAAGGTAAGCAAACAGTGTAACTACAGTGATATAATTACTTTACTCTGGCACTGGTGTAGAGTCCATAATTGATTCAAACTGTTCTCCCTCCTTTCTGCACAGTGTTGTCGTTTAGTCATCGAAACCATACTGTGTGCCGTCTAAGGACACAGAACTACACAAGTGAACGACCCAGACAAATCTCGGGATAATCCCAGTGCAGCAGAGGACGTGGGCAGTCTGCAGGGATGGAATAGTGGCTTTCAGTGGAGGGGTCAGAGAACCCTCCTGGGAAAGGAGACAGCTGGAGTCAGTACTGGGGTTGAAGCTGGTCCCTGCAGCTATATGTGGGGACATCATTTGAAACATAGGATGTAGGAAAGGCAGAGATCTCAGCAGAGCACAGGTGGCATGTGGGGACAGCACCAGGGGCCAATGATCTTGGGGGAGGGGTACAGGGGGCATGTGGAAACAGCAGGCATTGTACAGGTTGACTTGTTCTTTTTTCTTAGGTAAGATGCTGCTTGCCCCATGGCTCATTGGAAGCTCCATACACTTTCCCATAACGCCCTTCACCATTCCCATCTGGCACATTCCCGCTTATTCTTTGGGTTCAGGGGTTGCTATCTCCTCTGCATTCTTTCCATACTCAGCAGGTTATTTCATTTTGGGTGATCTGGTTGGTTTTCCCTTGTTCCTTAAAGGATTCATCTTACAGTGCTCCTGACTTTCTGACTTTCTTAGCTCTTATCCTCACCGAATTGTTATTAAACAATTATTAAACAAAGGCAAATTAAACCAACGCTTTAATACACATGTATTAGTCACCTGACCACACACCCAAGCCAGCCAGCTTGCAAAGTGGGAAAGTTTATTCAGCTTAGTTTTAGGAGACACGAAGGGTGATGTTTGCGTCCACTCAGCTCTGGCAAGGGCAGCAGTCGGAGCACATCACTGCGGCGTGTGTACAAGTGATGACCACTCTTTCTCCCTGTCTCCTCATGCTGAGAACCAAACCCATGACCTCATACACATAAGGCATGCACCACACTATATACCACGATCACAAAAGATTTCACCTCAAACCAGAGCAGAAGCATGGAGGCCATGGCAGGATCGGGACACAGGGCATGACTCCCAATCCACTTTAAGAACATGCCCCTGTGAGCTAGGACCTCTGTATTCACTATTTTCTCATCACCGTGACCACAGATCTGACAGAAATAACCTAAAGATGTAAAGGTTCATTTGGGCTCTCAGGTTCTGAGGATTCAGTCCATGGTCACCTGGCTTCATATGCTTGGACAGGACATGTTGAAGCATGAGGCAGGAGTGGCCAGGACAAGGCGCCCTCAGGGGCTAAACCCCAAATGACCCACTTACTCCACTTCTAAAACATTCCAGAACTTCCCATAATATCGCTACCAACTGAAGACCTAGGCCTTATTATATAAGCCGGTGAGGGACATTTTATACACAAAGCTTAACCCATGGGGCTTGTCTCATAGAGGTCTCGGCCAGGTATACCCTCAGTCCGAGACTAGCCCTTTAATACACGACGAGTCACGCTGGATATCTAGCCAAGCTCCAATCCCGCTTTTGTGTGTCCAGGCCCTATCGCGGGTGACCATGTGCTGTAACTAGTGGAATGAACGAACTGTGAGTGCACAAAGGATCCCTGGGGGCATTATGATGCACTTACCACACAGTGACCCTGCAGCTTCATGTAGCTACTTCCTTACGCTTTCTGTAAAATGCTTTCCTTCCCCAGATGTTTCTAGTGCTCTAAGCACTGGATAAGCAAGCATTGGCTAGTTCCACAGCCCCTGAACCCTTAGAATCTGCAAGTCTCAAACAATACCTGTTCCCATGGAGAACATTTTAACAGATGTATCTCCTCATGCTGTGTTGATATCACTGGTTGACTTATTATTTAATATCAAAGCTGATTTGAAGTTCATGTTCATTCTCTGCATGTTTTCCTTCAGTGTTTACCTAGGATAGTGCAATGATTGTCCCCCTGAGATTAAAGAAGTCTTACACTTTCCTGGTGTTTTTCTACGTAGGTCCTGTATACAAATCATCAAATCAATATGGACGATTGCGGTGAAGATGGGTGCCAGTTCAACATGTCAGTGTCCGCACTGGATTCCAGATACTGTGTTTCCGTAAACGGACACTCAGAATACTGGGACATTATGACAGATAAATCAGAGGACGTCTGTGTTTCCCTTGTCCATAACAGCAGAAAGGGTAAGCACTTGCCTTCCCCCAGCTGAAGACAGAGTGCTAACTCAAGTGCGGCGGTGTGCAAGAAACGAGATGCTTTACAACTTACAGGCACCTTTTCTTTTAAAAACATCCAACATCCTTTCCCCAGAGAAGCTCCTAATTAAAAACAAGACAGTTTCTCTGGCATTGAGATATACTACAGCAACCAAATTAGGGAGCCACCAGATGAGTGACCCAGGAAAGGAAAGATACATAACAAATTTATAAAATCATGCACACAGGTGTCTGTCCTTCGAATAGTCTCTGGGAACTGTACCGTGGAGAGACTGGAGTTCAGGAGAGTCGGCAGCAGATTACTTTATCTTGGGCTGGTTTTCACTTCTGCAACAGCCATGCCTTGCCCAACTCTGAATCTGAACTAACACCTTGTGAAAATAAGTAAAAATCTCAGAAGCTATTTACTTAGAACACTAGCTTCCACCAGTCCAAGAGCTAGGACTGTCGTCAGCATCGTGGGCCTGTAAGATAGCTCCCCCATCTCCATGTGCCTGCCTCTCGGGTGCACCCACCAGCATATTTAAAACTTACCTTGACTTACGACTTTCTTCTGTAAAACTCTCAAAACCCCCTGAAGCTGCTTCCACATCGGAACATGGAATTTTTTTTTTTTTTTTTTTTTTTTTTTTTTTTTTTTTTTTGGTTTTTCGAGACAGGGTTTCTCTGTAGCTTTGGAGCCTGTCCTGGAACTCCCTTTGTAGACCAGGCTGGTCTCGAACTCACAGAGATCCGCCTGTCTCTGCCTCCTGAGTGCTGGGATTAAAGGCGTGCGCCACCACCGCCCGGCCGGAACATGGAATTTTGAATGAAGTAAATCTGTGTTCCTGGTCTGTGGTCACTCATAGTAACTCAAGAATAAACTTGTCTCTTGTTCTCTTTAAGGTGAAAGCTCTGGTTTTTATGTCAACAATAGTAAAAATGGGGGGAAAAAAATGCCACATGTAGTACTTCACATTTCTGACCCAAGGTGACGTACTCTTCTGAGCGCGGGTTCTCCTGTGACAGTGCCCTGAAATGCTGCTCAGAGTCTGTCTTTGTAGCTAGGCTTTCTGTTGCTGTGATAAAACACCATGGCTAAAGCACCTTGAGGAGGAAAAGGAACCAGTTGTTTTGCTTACATTTCCACATCGTAGTCCATCACTGAAGGAAGTCAAACAGGACAGGAACTGGGAGGCAGGAACTGATGCAGAGGCCATGGAGGGGTGCTGCTTACTGGCTTGCTCCTCATGGCTTGCTTGCCCTGCTTTCTTATAGAATCCAGGACCATAACAATTTGCCAATAATACATTAATAGAAAAAATCACTAATTAAAACCCAAACAAAACTCCTTACAGTTTACTAGAATACCAATGACATGTGTAAACTAAACCTATCTGAACACTGACCATTTATCATGGCCCTATATATGTATAACTTTTGCTAACTTAATAAATGTTTTATGACAAGATTTAACCCTTCTGCTGAGATTATGTCACTAATCCCTTAATGTAAAACATTGCCAATATGCTTCCCATTTACATGCTAGCCATCAGAAAACAGTAGATAGATACAGTGATAAAAGAATGTTTCCATGTTCACATAGCCACTAAGAATGCTGTCCTTGTAATGGATTAAGTAAAAATGCCATGGATCCCTAAGCGGCTGCAGAGGCGGAAATGCTGCAGGTCCCCAAGCGGTGGCAGTGGGCAGCAGATCCCGAGAGCAGCCAGTCCCAAGCAGGGATGGCACAGTTCCCCAAGTGGCTGCAGTGGGTCACGAGGGGCAGTGAGTCTCACAAGGAGAGATAAATAGATGGGCATGCCACAAGATCATGCTGCAGGTCTCCGAAGGCGGCTGTTCCCAGGCAGAGAGCCACACAGCAGGTGAGAGACAGAGACATGGATAGGCACGCCATGCAGAGTGAGGTTGTATATTTATTTAGTGGGTTATGGAAGGGAAGGGGAGACGGGGGAAGAGCAGAGAGAAACAGGGGGGGAAGGGGAGAATGGAGTGAGACAGAAGGCTCTTGGGGGGAGAGATGGAAAAGAGAGGGGACTCAGGCTGGAAGCTGAAGATCAGCTTGCCTGGGCAGACGGGAGGGAGTGGGCATGGCTTATCTCTTAAAGGGATAGAGCAGACCATTATAGTCCTTATGCTCAACTTAGTTTGGGGCCATTAAATAATATGAGTATAATTACCTTATCAGCAAAATTTAGCAGGTGATAGGTATCATGAACTGACTTTATGGCAACACAGGAAGCACTTACCTAATAGCTTATTGTCTGCAGAAATCCCAGGATCTGCTGTATTGGTTGTTATCCTCAATTATTTCTTTTCACCAAATTTAATATTGATGCTGTTGATTATCCTGTACCTTTTCTGTATTCATTTATCATTTTTTTAAATTTTATTTTATATATATAGGTGTTGTGTCTTTGTGTTTGTTTTATGGGCCACGTGTATGCAGTTCCTGAGAAGGCCAGAAGAGGGCATTAGATCCCCTGGGACTCTATGATTGTAAGCTGCCTTGTGGGTGCTGGGAATTTAACCCCCAGGTCCTCTAAAAAAGTAGCCAGTACTCTTAATCACTGAGCTATTCCTTAAGCCCAATAGATGTCTTTTTTGGATGATGAAAATCTAGGCTGAAATTTTAGACCATATGTGTAAAATTTAATATTAATAACTTTTAGGCCATTCTATGAAAACTTTAAATATGACTTAAAACAGTGCAGTGCGTTTTGTGCTAATGTGCTTTGTTAAGCTATTTGGAAAACAAAATCCTACTTTATATACAAAATTGATGCACTTATCCCAAATCCAATTTTGTAAATTTAAAAACAAACAAAAAAAAAAGATTTAGTGGTCACATGGTGGCAGCAAGTTAGCTATTGTTTTGTCCCTTGTCACATGTAGGTCGTACATGCTGTTTCCTCAGCCCAGTGGGATTTCAGTGGGACTTCTGATGCAACACTCATAATCATTATTTTGTGGGGTTTTTTGTTTTTTTATTTATTGCTATTGTAATGATGTAATATTATAATGATTTATATAAATGATATACATAAACAAATAATGATATATTTGTTTAACCACAGCCCATAGTAGATATGGTATAAGCGTTCGTTAAGCAGTAACATGTAATTATTATTCCAGAGAAGCAGCTGTAGAGCAGAATTAGAGTCATGGGATGCTGTTAAGGAAATACACACTGTCACAATATCTAGACTACTGTTTATGTTTTAGAAGAGAGGACTCTGGGAAATGCTGATGATGACTTTTTGAGAATAAGAGAGCGGAGTAAGAACAACCTACACAAAGGCTATGTGTGCGCACACAATCCTCACTGCTGTGCCTGCTCCTTTGTGTGCCTGAGCGTGTGTGTTGTTACAGGCACAGGAGTCTTCAGATGTTTAAGTGGTGAGGAAGGAACATGGCTGAATTGTTTTAAGAGTTACCAGCAGTGTTGCTGGAATTTATTTCTCCTAAGGCGGGGCATTTTAAAAATGCCTTGGTAAGTGAGGGAAAAGCATCCCTTGGTCACACCCTGATGTGAGGCTGTAGAGAGGTTTAAGAAGCTATTTCAGCTACCTTGTGTCCAGGCAGTGTAGTCCTAGGGTGCTTCAGAACTGCAGCCCCGGGAGGAGCCTGACGTCTAGCTAGGATGTACAGCGCTGTGTGCTCAGTCGCATTGCCCAGTTCTGTCCAGTGTTCTTTCAAGTACTGCTGATATGAACATGTGCATCTGCTGAAGAATGGCGCTAAGACTTCTTTGATGCAGAATAGAAGTATTCTATTTGTTTCTTTCTTTCTTTCTTTTTAGATTCGATTTGGATTCTGGTTGTTGCTCCTCTAACCCTCTTTGTAATTGTTATCCTGGTATTTGCATATTGGCAGATGAAGAAGAATCCATGTAAAAGAAAAAGCATAACGCTACCTAAGTCCTTGGTAATATATTTAATTATTTATTTAATTATACACGCTAGCATTAATTTGAACCTTCTTTAGCAGTCCCTCCGATACTAAGTATCATTCAGAAAAATGCTGTATGTGCACTGATGAATAGTATTCTGTTTAATCTTATTATAGTACTCTTCACTAAAAACGAATCTTTTGATCTGCCATACACCCAAGCCATATATATTTCACTGTGCACCAGTGAAATTTTTGTATAATTTCCAGGATGGAAACTGACACATTTGGTAAGGAGCTAAAGGTCCAGAAGGAACAGTAGTACAATCAGTGTAAGTGCACAGTGCACACAGGCTTGTGCGTGAGCCAGTGAAGAGCTTGCCCACTTGGTGGATGGGGGTTGGTTATGACTCTTCAAGAGGCAATGATGTGTTAGCCCTCAGGAGCAGCATATGGGAGAGCCAGCCTACAGCCCCCAAAACTTAGCTTCTGAAGAGCTGCAAACATGCAAATATTTCATCGCAGCCGGCATGTAGAAGGCAAGATGGCCCAAAGTGAAACTATCACACTTGACATTGAAGTGTAGGCACACTCTAGTCTCTCGACATGGTTTAAAGAACACGGAAGGGGAATAAAATGATGACACATTGATTCAGAAACGACAAGAATAACATCTGTGATGTGCAGAGGGCGCGGTGGAATTGGCTGCAGCAAAGCTGTCTCTAAGGTGGCAGAGAACTATCAACAGTGAGGAGACTGTGCATATATGTCCCCTATACGTCCTCCTCACTAGTAGGTAAGCAAGAGACCACCATGTTTTAAGCCACACCCTCCTCACTGGAGCAGGGAAATGAACCTGACCCTGCAGCAGTGGCGGCAAAGATTAACTGTATGCCCCTTGCCAGGAAGCTGCCGGCATGGCAGCCTTTTACATAATCCTTCCAATCGTTTATCCTGAGGAAATAATTTCATAAATAAGAATGTGTGAAAGATTCTAAATGTTCTGTGTCTTTTAAAGAAAACATCAAAGAAATGCCAAGTCACTGGCATGAAATTTGCATTGCACAGACACATAGAAGATGGTGTGCAAAAGGCAACGTGCATTTATGAGATGCCTAATGACGTCATATTTTTAGTCTTAAATAAGTTCTATTAAAAAGAGAAATGGCTCAGTGCTTAAGAGCATTGACAGTTCTTCCAGAGGTCCTGAGTTCAATTCCCAGCAGCCACATGGTGGCTCACAGCCATCTATTTTGGGATCTGATGCTCTCTTCTGGCCTGCAGGTGTACATGGAGATAGAGCACCGTATACATAAAATAAATAACTCCTTTAAAAATCATTTTTAAAAGAGAAAAGGCCACCTGGGTGTGGTGGCTCCCATTTAATCCCAGCACTTGGAAGACAGAGGCAGGTAAATCTCTGTAAGTTTGAGGCCAGCCTGCGTTCCAAGCCAACAAGAGCTATGTAGTAAGACTTTGTCTCTAAAGAAATAAATAAATAGAAAAGTCAAGGCACTTGGTGACACACATTTTATGTCCTAGCCCTTGGGAGGTAAAAGCAGGCATGTCACAAAGTTCAGGGTCACCCTCTGCTACATAGTGTCTTCAAGACCAGCCTAAGCTACATGAGACCTTGTCTCAAACAAACAAAAAGATCAAGAAAAAGAAGAATGCAGTGAGCTTATTTTAATCATGTTTAATGAAATAAGTCATTTGCTTTTTAAGCCTTTTCTTTTTTAATAGGCATTTAAACTCAATAATTTTCTATCTTTACTCACTTTCTTTCAATTTAGCTCTCTGTTGTAAAAAATGCCACCTCAGAGACAAAACCTGAATCCAAGTATACCTCACTTGTCACATCGTGCCAGTCAACTGTGCTGGAGAATGAGACCGTGGTCTGTGAAGAGCGCCTGTCCACGGTGGCCCTTCCAGGAGACCCAGGAACAACAGAACACGAAAAACTTTCTAGCGAAGCCGAGCCTATGATCCCCGAAGGAAGCACTGCTGTGGCCCCCGACAGCCCTCCAACGCCAATACAGAGAGGCAGTTCTTCCCTTTTGAGTAGTAACCAGTCAGAGCCCTGTAGCCTCACGCCCTACCACTCCAGAAGCGGCTCCGACAGTGGCCTCGTGGGATCCGGCAGCTCCATAGCCGACTCCGAATTTCTCCTGCACAGTAACCCGGAAACAAAGACACCAGAACAAGAGCCCGAGCCGGTGAGGAAGGCCCCCACCTCCTTTGGTTATGATAAACCGCACGTGCTCGTGGATGTTCTCGTGGATGGCGGCGATGGGAAGGAGTCTTTGATTGGGTATAGACTCCCAACAGATGCCAAGGAGCCATCCTGAGACCACCTGAGTCCAGCCGACGGCGAAGGATCGGATTTTCCTCGGTGGTTTTTCTGCTTTGATTTCGTGAAAAGGAGTTGTACCTTAGCTGATACTAACGGCATGGAACGCCTTGATTTAGATCCATGTGTAAGGAGCCTGTGGACACTGCGGAGTTTACTCCGAAAACTTGGAGACTTTTTAAAGGACCGTATCATTGCTTATGAGCTCCTTTCTGGGTGCGTTACCAGCGGTGAATTTTCCTCTGTTAACTTTGCTTCCTGCAGTTGCTGCTTCTCAGTCCTTAGCACCTCAAGGGACATGTTGGGCAATTTTTTTTTCATATGCCTTCACAATTGTAAGTTCATGTATATAGTATGTTTAAAGCTTCACTTTGATGGGAAAGCTGAAAGCTCCTCTAAGTTGGACTTTAAAGTTTACTTCAAGCTGACAGAATTTGATAGAGCATCTCAGTGGAAGTTTGTACATGTTTTTTTTTTTTTATGGAGCATTACTTGTTATTTTTAAGTAAAATGTTTTGAAACCAAAACTTATTTGGGTATTCATTTATCGAAGCATGAGGGCAATCTTTTATAGTTAGTTGATGTGTTTTATACATTACTTGTTGCTACTCATTAATGCTATAGAATTATTTTCTAGTTTATATATCTAAGCTACAAAGTAATTCTAAAAGTAATCTCTTCCTTTAAAATGGGTGGGGAGTGGAGGGCTGCTCAGTTGTTAAGAGCCTTTGCTGATCTTGCTGCAGAGGGCCGGGGTTCAATTCCCAGTACCCACACGGTGGTTCACAAACATCCATAACTCCAGTTTTCGAGGAGATCCAGCACCTGCTTCTGACCCTGTTGGCACCAGGCACAAATATGGTATACATACAGGCAAAACATTCACACATTAAAAAAAAAAAACTTACAGAATGGGACATTTCTATAGTAAGTAGCCAGTGAGGAATAGCCTGTTCCAAGTAGTTCCGAAAGAAAAGCAGGTCTCACTGGAGAGCAGGGGTCAAGGACACTTTCCCTGTGCAGTGAAGGAGGAAACCTTGAGACGAGTGTTGTACAGAGAGAATGCTTAACACGTGGGTGCCAGCAGTATCGGTCTTAGAGGAATTATTGCGATCACTAAAACAGTAGAAATATAGCCCCTGCTATATTTCAGGACAGTCATGGGGGCCTGAGTCTAGATCCTCAACAACATATAAAAAGCTGGGTGTGACTGCACCTGCCTGTAGCCCCCAAACAGGCCTCACCTACCAGCCAGCCTCGCTGGAAACTGAGCATCAGGTCCAGGGAAGGCTATCTAATAGGTAAGCTGGAGAACATGAGGAAGGTACCAGAAGCCCAGCCCTGGATTCTGCCAGTGCTCTTACCACGCTCAGTGCCAACTTCCTGTATTAATTACTTTGTGTTCATGTGACCCAAAACCTCACAAGAAGCAATATAGGTAGAAAGTTTGTTCTGGCTTACAGGCTGAAGGGCTCCAGCCCATCGCAGCATGGAAAACTCAGTGGGAAGAGCAGGAACCCTAGAAGTCGTGTTGTACAGCAGTTGGGAAGCAGAGTTAGTAGAAGGGGGAAGGGGCAATTTAAAAGCCTCCAGTGACCCACTTCCTCCAGTGACCTTCCACCTCCTAAAATTATACAACCTTCCAAGAAAAGTGACACCGGCTGGGTGCTGTATGAACCAAAGACATGACCACACCAAGATACAGTTCAAGGGAAGGTTTTATTGTAGATATAAGGGGGAAAACAGCCAGGGGCATCTGGAAGCAGAGAAAAAAGGACCAAGAAGGGGCCAAGAGACATAGTGAGAAAGTAGTAGCTGGGGGAGGGAAGCTCCCGGGCCTGGGGAAGCTTAAGGTCGGAGGATAGATAGGCCAGAAGGGCTGAGAAAGGCAAGGACTCTGCAACAAGTACTTGTGATACTGTGGGAGTCTGGAAGCCAGCCTGTGCCTTGGTGTGCTGATAAGGACTTCAGATAGCCATTTGTCCCTTCTGCCAGTGATAGGGAAAGTGGTTCCTTTGGTGGAGGGGAACCAGCTTCCGGAGTTCCTGAGGAATGCTTACTCTTGTTTAACCACCAGAAGTTGGGGAATGAAATTTGATTTTGCATATGCCAGGGACCAAATGTTCAAACTCATGGCTGACAAGGAAGATGTTCACATCGTGAGAATAACCTGAAATGCATCCTGTGCAGTGCGGGAGAGTGAAGGATATGACAAAGACAGCCATCTGGGAGGGAGTGGGACTGGGCTTTGGGGCGAGCAGCCGGAAAGCCACCATTAAGGCAACATTTAAGCAGGCACGAAAGGAGGTGAAGCAATGAGCTTGTACCTCTGAGGAATGCATTCAAGAGAGTGGGAGGGAGTGCGCCTGGCGTGGCAAAGGAATGTCAGGAAGGTTGTGAAGTCTGGAGAGCCGCAGAGAAAGTGGAGAGTGTGCAGGGCATGAATTTAAGAGTTAGTTGATGGAGTCAGCTCCTGGAAGGTCCGAGAAACAAATGTTTGGTTTTCATTCTGATTGAGATGGGAAGGTTGGCACGTTCTCATTTCATGTTTAAAAGGAACACTCCACTTGGTACACAGGACAGTAGTAACAGGAAGGCTGGTCAGGAGGTCATGGCCACAGCTCTGCCAAAACATCATGATAGCAGGGACCTGATGGTCAAGATGGAGGAAGGAATGCCCAGTTTCATTCAGATTCCAATGAAAGCTCTTTCCAGGGTCCCCAAACGCGTGAAGGCCTTAGGAAAGGACTTAATGGTTTCCAAGGTCACTGAATGACCTTGATCAAAAACAATCAAAATAGGCTCCCTAAATAGGACCGGAACAAGGATGGCAACAATAAACACGTTAATGTGGATAGTAGAAGGCATGGAAGGCCTCAACCCTAGACAAAGACTAAGGAAGAGCGGGAGGCCAAGAAACAGTCTTCCCCAGAGAAGAACGTGCCAATGGTCAGCTCTGAGAATATACACATACATGAAGCAGACCACACAGACATGACATTCTTTGAAAAAAAAAAAAGCAGTCAAAACAAAATCAATAGTCTCTCTTGTCCAGAAAAATATATATAAAGAACAGATAGTGTTAATTTCATGAAGGAGACTTTCAGATGTCACACAAATCAAGTGGCCTTTATCGGAAATGCTTAGGACTGGAATTCCTTCAGCTTTTGGAAATGTCCTATATTTTAGAATGTTTGCAAATACATGAATACCTTAGGAATGGAGTCGGAGTCTAAACACATACTTCGTTTATGTTTTATTTCTGTCTCAGTTTGTACACAGAGCTTGGAGGGCTTGGGCTGGTGTTTGTAGAGCAGCTGCCTTCGACCATTCCCCATGGCGTGAGCCTGAAGCATCTCAGCACTCCAAACGTTCCGCCGTGGAACAGGTTAGAGTTCTTTCGTATATTCAGAGCATGGATGTTCAACCTGTCACGTATTGTTGTTGAATCCAAATGACCAAAATTAAACTTAGGTTGCACAGCGTGCTTATTGATTGTATTTGCATAGCAAGATTCCTTCTTTTCTGAATTCTCCTCTGAAAACAGTTTTGAATTGCAAACCAGTTCTTCCAGGATTCAGAGCTGCTTGAAGGTCATAGGCATTCCTTGGGGAAGTTATGAAAAGTAAGTTATGGTAAGTAAGAAAAGGCAACAGGTGTCCCAGTTTGCCACTATGGACATCCACAGCTCTGGTGCTGGAATTGTGAGGACAGAATGAGAGAAGGGTCTGGAGAAGAAACCAGAGGCAAATGCCATCTGAGTCACTGTGGATGGACACCACCAAAGTCACCCCGAGCATCTGGTTTTAAACCCCACTCTGAAGGAGAAAAAGGGACACATACAGGGCCACCTAGCTGCAAAAGATTATCTCGACCCTATCATTGCTGGATCTGCTGTTGAATTCATTTTTGCCAACTCATGCCTAGAACAGTGCCTGCATTTAACAGGCTAAAAGGGATTATTTTCTTGTTCGTGTGAGTATTGCATTCTTCTTTGACATCTTCCTGTCCCTTTAAGGGATGAATATTCCAAATAAAGAATGACAGTGGCAATTTTATAATCATCTTCACACTGTGAATTCATCCAGATCTGATTTTGCTCCTCATTCCAGTACTGTTTGCTATAGAACTTTGACCAAGTACTCTCAGTTTCTCCGTGCCTCAGTTTCTTCATCTGAAATGTCAAGATAATACCAACCTCCTAGGCTAAGAGATAGTTTTAAATAAGGTAACGCACACAAAACCCTTAACAGTGTCTCATGATTAACAAGTGTTATTCTTGCCTTTCCACGGCCCTTCTATTTTGAAACAAATCATGCCATTTTAACCTGCCATACTTCAATACGTACCTCTAGAAAAGAACACCAGCAACAAAAAGAGTAGCACTCCATATCACATCTAAAAATAAGTTTTTTTCCTTAGAAAAATTATTGATCTTCTAGGAGCCACAGAAGAAAGAAGGAAGAAAGAAGAGACTCAAGTTTGGCCAAGTTAGGGGCTTGGGCACGTTCTCCCGACACAGCACAATGGGGACACCTGTTGTCGTAGCCACATAAACTCTCCCTCCTGAGCAGTGGAAGGTAGGAAGGAAAGGACAGAAAACGTGTCTAAAGCTAGCATTTCATGACTGAAGGAAGGAGAGCAGAGGCCCCCATTAACTGATTAATGTTCTTTTCACACAAGACGACTTCAAATTTCATTTGCAACAATCCTGTACATGTTCACTGGCTGCCAGGTTAATGGGGAAAATATAATTCGTCTTTTTGTCAACTTAATGAACGGTTAGAGATGTTGGCTTTCACAGTTGTCATTTACACAGCTTGTCACTGAGACAGCTCGTGGAATGGCGGCAAGATGGGTTTGGTTTCTGAAGTGTGACGTGACGAAAGCTCAGGTTATTGAGAGAATTTAGTCCTCAAAAACATTTTTTTCTTTCTATGCTTTGGATGCTAAGGATTGAAACCAGGGTGGAGAACACGCTTGGCACTGAACTACAGTCCCAGCCAGAGTTCAGTTCCTAAGAACTTTTATATAACTTTCCCCTTCCTCCCAACTTCTTATTTGTTTTATAGAATCAGTAA